GGGTTAGAGAAGTTCAAAAACATTCTCAAGGATACACAGCTCTCAGCTACCTGGGGAGAAGGAATAAAACTCAAGTTTATTACCTTCATTGCCCATCTCAAGTTCTCTCTGCTATGTCCTATATATACATATATATTTATATATACACACATACATATATATGTATATATATATCAGATTGTATTTAATGTGCATATAAAAAGGTTGGATTCTTTATCTTCCTATCTTCCCCTCCTCTTCACTTCTCATCTCCCCAAAACATATTCTCACACTCAGCCTCTCCTACTCTCTCTAAGTCTTGCAAAGACGTACATGCATAGCACACACACACATATGCTTGGGACAGAAAGGCCAAAGAACATTAATATTTGGGAAGCCAGAGCTGCAGTCTTGACTCCATCCCTTATTTCAGACAAGTCATTAATCTCAGCCTCCTCATTGGTTAATATACTTGTTCCCTCTGGTCTTGTCTCTTCCTAAAAGTATATAACTGTTTATCTTCAAGTATTTTTATACTTTATATTTCTTTTAAAAGTATACTTATATATATATATATATATATATATATATATTTATATATACTTTTATAAATAAAGTAGGGGATTTATATTATCTTATTACTTTGATTCCTCAACATCACCAACAAATTCAAGCCTCTAATTCTATGCTGTCCAACATTGTAGCCATTTCTGGTGGTATGTGGCTATTGAGCAATTTATATTTGGTTGGTCCGATCGAGGAACTAAATTTTAATTTAATTTAATCTTGAAATTGAAGCTGGGTCAAAAAATACACAATTTTTATTGTTTCATTAGGAGCAGGATTCACTTTAACCATTGAAACTTTAGCATCTGAATTGAGATATATAAGATACACACCAGGGGCTTCCCTGGTGGCGCAGTGGTTGAGAGTCCGCCTTCCAATGCAGGGGACACGGGTTTGTGCCCCGGTCCGGGAAGATCCCACATGCCGCGCAGCGGCTGGGCCCGTGAGCCATGGCTGCTGAGGCTGCACGTCGGGAGCCTGTGCTCCACAACGGGAGAGGCCACAACAGTGAGAGGCCCACGTATGGCAAAAAAAAAAAATATATATATATATATATATATATATATATAATTAACTTTTTATAATAATTACATGTTGAAAAAATAATCTTTTAGATATACTTGCTTAAATACATTATTAAATAAATGTCCACCTGTTTCTCTTTTATAAAAATGTCACTCCCTGGGTCAGCAAACTTTTTCCCTGAAAAGTCAGATAGAAATATTTTAGGCTCTGTGGGCCATATACAGTTTCTATGGCATGGTCTTCTCTATTTTTGTTTTAAAAAAAATTGCTTTAATGTAAAAGCTGTTCTTAGCTCATGGGCAGTACACACACAGGCCGCCTGGGGCAGTAGTTCTAGCCGCAGCTCTACAGTGACATATTTGCCCTTCTAACCCCGGTGCTCAGTAGCAAGAAGGAATGCTCTTCTCTGAAAATGAACTAAGCTGAATCCATACCTAGGATTGTTCTCCTCATTTTACGAAGAGGACACTGAGGTCTAGAGAATTTAAGCAACTTTCCCAAGTCAAATAGCTGGTAAGTGCAGAGCTAGAATGAGAATTCATATCTGCCCAGCTCCAGAATGTATGACACTGCATCATACATTCTGCATTATTAAGACTTTCCTTAGTTTGATTAATGAACCTTCACTGATCCATTCATTCAGTAGTCATTGAATGAATATTTGTGCAACATACAAGTAATAGAGACATTTCCCCTGTTCCACATTTAAGCTCATTTTTGAAAAGGTTCAAATATCTTACCAATTTAATTTATGAGATACAAAATGAAGTGGAAAATTGACAATTATTTGCTAACTTCAATCATATAGATGGCAAGCCTGATAATTCAGGCTTGATCCTGTTAACCGCAGTTGGCAGAGGTACAAACATTTTGTATTCTTACTTTTTTTCTAATTCAAGATCCTTTATTAGCTTCAGACATAATAAAGAGGTGCTAAAATAGGTAGAGGAGGAGTAACAGCCTACATTTTAACCAATGTAATGATAAAGCAGTCGATCTCCAGTGAGGCTAGTATGTTAGTCTATTTTCTTTCAGCATGTTTATTTAGTTGCATGATCATTCACTCTGTCAAATTTTACAGCTAGTTTTTTTTTTTTTTTTGGCAGAAGACCTCCAAAACTCTCTGGCTTTGCCATATACTATAAGTGGATCTCTTATTATTTATCTTTATGAAATTTAATAAAGTCTCATTTTAACTCAATTTCTCTTTAGACCATCTCTCCCTTACCAGCCCCTCCTAGAACTGCAATTAAAATGTAAACTAGATATTTTTGATATTCTTCAATTAAAATCCCAACATTAACTTCTTTCCCTTAAATGCCTTCTCTATCCTTAATTGTGCAGTTGGTCTACAACTGATCATCTACTTTGGGACTCTGGAGCATCTTCCGTCCATCTGTGTAACTCCTCATTTTGATTAACGTGGTGTTTTCCACATAGCAAAGCTCCTAATAAGTATGCATAAATAAAATAGCTTTAAGGGAAGCCAAGAAGCCTAGGATTCTTCTTTCATTTTGGTTTTTCTTTTCAATTCATGTGGCAAATGACATTTTTAGTATGGGCTACAAATTTCCACTGTAACAACTAGATATGCTGTCGGGTTGGGTGTAAAGAATTTAAGTTTGAGAGCACCTCTCCTTTCCGGTAAAATTAAAATTACAAATACATCTGGGCTGAGGACTCTCGGAACTTGAGCAATAACTCCATTAACTTTAGGGATGTTTTCATAGTATTTTCAGAACATTAATCCAAAAGAAGAATCTAATTCCAATTCTATTAAAACTGGTCCAAATCTTTTTTTCCTTGAAAAAAAAAAAAAAAAAAGGAAAGTGAGAATAGTAGGAGAAAAAAAGCATCCATTCTTCAGAGGCTTAGATGGAAAGTCAGGAGGAAAGTTCTAAATCACTAAGTTTCATTATTAAAAGACTAACCTTGTTTTATCCAAGCTGTGGAATCATTTTAATTAGGAATAAAGTAGGTATCAATGATAATTTGATACAACTGGTATAATTCAACAATTGAATAGTCGAATCAATAATTGAACCAGTTGTTTTTCAGTATATATATATATATTTATTTATACATACACACACATTTATGTTTGTATATATGCATATATTTTAAAATTAGTGAGTATATATATTATATATGTATATATAAAATGTATATATATACCTCAGTATTTAATTATATATGCAGAAAGACAGAAATATACAGACAGAAAGAGAGAGAGCTGTAGCAATTTAAACCATGTTTTTATTATTCTCATCTACTTTTGCAGTGTAGATGAAGTTTGATAACAATCCTATTAGACTGGTTGGCCATGAACTTGTTTATTTTTCATGCATACTTATTAAACTCACGTGTTTAAGGAAATATCTTCAGGCTTTTCAGCCTATTCAATTTTTCTTTTTAATTGTAGCGTAAAAATGCTTCCAAACATTTTGCAATGTCAATTGACAGTATCACTGTAAATGGTCTCTCTCTGTCTCTCACATTAAGATGTAAAATGTATTGCTGCTTCCTCTTAAGCATATCTGTCAACATCAATATCTTCTGGGTATTAAAAAGTATACAGAGTTGAGGGAAGAGTTTCCACTGCACTAAATTTTTAAAATTATATTTACTTACTGAGACTTATTATTGAACTTGTTTACTAACTTACAGTACATTACCTTTTAGTTGATCTAAGTTTCTGGGAAACAGAAACATTCTGGAAGCTGGGAAAATAAGAAGTTTTCAATGTCCCCGAAGAATAAAACTGGTAGCTGTACAGGCAAGTACAAAACTCGAAGGTATTTTACTCTAACCCTTTCTCTAGAGCAAAAAAATATCTGGGTTTGAATCCTGGGTCATCCTCTTTTTAACTGGAAAAGTTATTTAGCCTTTCTCAACATTTCTAAACCTCTGTAAAGGTTTATTGTAAGGATCAACACAGATAATTTCATATATAACATCATCTGGTGTAGTTAATATTATTTTTTTGTTATTGGGGAAATGTGTGATTGCAAGGGTAAGAGGTGGCATCTAAATCTACAAGTATAGAGAAGTTCTTTATTTGCTGCAGACATAGGATCTTTTGTATTGTCCTAAGTCACAATAGAAGCCACATAAGTTTATTAGAATGGGATTAACACAAATACAGCACAACTGACTAAGAAAACAGCCTGCATTGTAAAACAGGAACAGGGCCAACTTTGCTGAGCACGGAGAACTCTATGCCTCTAGTAATTATAAATATAATTCACAAAAACCATTTGCCTTTGCATTCTAGTAATACTCAATATTTTGTAAGTAAGTTGATGGTGTGTGTCCATAAATTTAAGAAGCAGCTCAGTAAAGTGGTTAGCACAGACTTTAAAGCAGCCAGAGGTGTGCTGGAGTTGACACTAGAGAGAATGAATAATTAAATATTCAGGTATTGTAAGCCTGTTATTAAACCATTGGTAGCTTGAAATCAACCATGGTAGGAGCATTCACACCATGGAAACTGGCAAATGCTATTATACAAATCTCAGGTTCCCCGCATCCACCCCCAAAACCTGGTTTACCAGTAAACTGCTGATGCAGGCATATATATATTTACTTGCCAGATTTAACACTTAATGGTTTATAGTCTTCAACAAGTTATGTTGTATTTCTCTCCTGCAATTTCCTCATCTAGAAAACAATACAATTATCTTTGTCATAAGGTTGCTTTTGTTTAAGTGATTTAAGTTACATAATCACCTAATACATACTTCGTAAATGGTAGTTCATACTAATAAGCCCAAATCATGTAAGAGACAACAGTGAAGAGCAAAGCAGAAACTAAAAGTAAATGAAGAACTTTCTGAAACAGGGTCTTTTTGCTGTATTAACAGGTTTCATTAAGCAAGTGATTCTAAATATATAATAGAGAAGAGGTGATCCACTCAAGGTTCACTCACCATGAAGAGATTGTTGTGTAAGTTTCCATTTTCCCCAGAGGGTGAGAAAAGAGAATCAGTTCTACCAGAAGTTCCCTCTTGGTGAGGTTGTTGTTCTGGGACTGGCTCATATAAGCTGTCCATAGAGCCCTCCTGGAATAAAGAGATTTCTGAGTCAAGGAAAAATAAAATGATAATTTTCATTGAAAAGTCATCTAACCATCTACCCACCTTTATACAGTACCCCATCTAAATGATCCCGTGCATTGGGATTACGAGTTTATGGTACGCCAGTGTTCAACAGTGAACAAGACAGTAAAGGGAGGCATTCTTAGCACTTATTACAGAGCCAGGAATTCAAACAAAACTCTAAGTGTTGGGGAGCCATGCACAAAATGTGGCAATTTCTCAAGAAGCATGATGAAGACATCAAGTTCGAGGTACTAAATAAAGACCTATTTGGACACCAATAAACTGTGTTGGGTGTCAGGTCATAGGTTTTAGTTATATGTATCCCTCTAATTAGGGTACTAATTAATACTAATTAGTACATGTCCTTGTATAAGAAACACAATCTGTTATACTTCAGCTTCCTCAACTGTAAAGTTGCAGTTTTATCCACCTTACAGAGGAACTCCCAGGATAAAATGAATACAGTGTTTGCTTTGAAACAGCAAAAGTATTTCACAAGTACAATAAAGGCATTCATATTAATGTTTACAGTATTTGTCTTAATAAATAATATTGTTCATTTGTTTTTATATTTTTATGGAATAATGAATTTTAAAATGTATGAGTTTGCATTTAAAACCATTGTAAACTCTATGTTAAATCTCCTTCGTATTTGGGAAACAAACTTAACTGAATTGACTTCTTATGTTTTTTTTTCCTTTTAAGACAGAATTGGTCTAGTTATGGCGTCATCTGGAAACAACTTTAAGGGCTGTTTGAAAATTTCTAGACATAGTAACTGGGGAGGTTGATAACGGTGTCATCAAAATAAAGGTCTGCTGGATTATGAAAAACTTTTCTTGCTTTAAACAATGAGTGTTGCACTGAAAATTTTCTCATCTTTAAAAATATATTTTATTAAGATATAAGCAAAGTTAAGATTGAATTGTATTCACATTGTCTACCTTTAAAAATTTCAACCAATGTGTTCTACAGTTCCATAATTCAAGTAACTCCTGCTCCAAACACATGGCAAATTATTGGGAAAATTTGAAAGACTTAAGTAAGCCCTAAGACATTTGTGCTCTAAATACCTAAACATGTAGGGAAACCAAAAACCTAACAGAAGCACAAAGTGGTGAATGGAGGTTAAGCCTTGGACCTGTTAGTTGTCCACCCACAAACGCGCAGCCTTGATGGATCTTGGGCCTGGTGGTGTAATGTGTGATAGCTTTCCTCCACATAAAGCAAACTCTGTGCTGAAATCCATGGGCTGCAGCAGCACCCACAGCTATGAAAAGAGGTTGAAAAAAATCTCCTACCCACAGCTGCTGGGGCTCTTGCTTCTAGGAAGCTGTAGGTCAGAAAAGCAAAATTCAACAATGCAGCTGGCACACTGAGATCAGAAACAAGCTGCCAGCTGGCTCAGTGATGGATCAGTAATACATCAAATATGACCTTGGGATGAGATCCCTGGACCAGCAATGTAAGCCTTGGTTCTTAACTGGGGCCTCGGAGAGACTGGAGATTTATGCCTTACAACCAAATGGAGAAAGGTAAAGAGGCCAGGAAGGAGAGAAGAGAGAGAGAGGGGAGGATGGAGGTGAAAGGGAGAGGAGTGGGAGAGGGAGAGGCAGAGAAGAGACACACAGAGAGAGACACAGAGAAAGAAGAGAAGAAGAGTTATCGTTCAACATTAGCCAAAACACAGGAAGGGATCGAATGCTGAGAAAGAGAGTCAACTGAATTGACAATCTGAAAATAAAACCATTTCCATTCCAGATGAAATTAAAATCATAAAATGGATGAAAAATAATTTCAGGAAAAATATTTATCATCTTCACAGAGCTAAATAAAAATGGAATATACAATTAAAAATAAATAACCTATGATGAAACCAAAACAGGCAGAAAGGAAACAAACACTAAATAATTAAAAAGTCTTGAAAATGAATAATGTAATCATAGAAATTTGTATTAAATAATCAAAAATTGGGATGAACTCTGGACCTCTCAAAAGAATTAGCAAATGCTGAAGAGTTCACCCAGGGTGCAGCATAAAAGGATAAATAGAAAACACATGAAATATTCGGGTAAAAGTGTGGAGGACGTTTTGAGGCATTACAACATCAGATTAATAGAAATTCTACAAAAATAAAATGACAGATATTTCTCGTCATTTCAAGAAAACTATGAACAAATTTTACTTATAGTTTTAAGAAATCCTAAATGTAGTGTTAACAAAATTAAATTTAGTAATGTATTTTAAAATATACCATGGTCAGTTAGTGTTTAATACAGGAATATAAGATGTTTCAATATTTAAATATACTGTAATGTGTTTAAAAGAAAGCTTAAAATTTCAATAAATATTCTAAGGCATTTGAAAGATTTATTATTATTCATCCTTGATAAAATCTCAGCAAACTGGGAAAAGAAGGACTTCCTCAACCTCATTAGAGTTATTTATCAAAAACCTCAGGAAGATGCAATTAAAGGTAATTAAATGAATGTTAGAAACAAGACTAGGATGCCTGCCATTATAGTGTTTTTACTTGTCAATGTTATAAAAGAGAGAGAGAAGCTGAGAATGGTATAATTGCTAAAGAAGAGGAAAACTTACAGATTATCTGCATTAAAAACCACAGACTACCAGAATTTTAGAAATTTAGCAAAAATACTTATTTGCAGTATCAATATCTGAAAATCAATAATGTATCTATAAATCAGCAAAAATAAATTAGGAAAAAAAATAATAACAGCAACCAAAATTCTTAGACTGCTAGCAATAAAGTTAGCAAAAGATTGAGATTGACATATATACACTAATATGTATAAAATAACTAATAAGAACCTGCTGTATAAAAAAACAAATTAAATTTAAAAAAGTTTTTTAAAAAAGAATTTTATAGAGAAAATTATAAAACATCATTAAAGACCATGAAAGAAGATTAGAATAAATGAAGAGCTATCCATATTTGCAGATGGGAGGCCTCAACCTCATAATGAAGTCAATTTCCCCTAAAGGTGTAAAATTCAAATTCATTTTAATCAAAATCCTATCAAAGATTTTCATATAACTTGATAAGACGCTTCTGTATTTATACAGAAGCACAGAGACTTTAGAAGTCCACATTTTGAAGAAAGACAAGGAGAGGGTATTCTGAGTAAGGTATCTAGTTGGCGTTAGAATTACCTCAATAGTATGTAGAACAGTAATAAAGAAAAGGATGGAGGTAAACCATTGGGATAAAATATATAAACCAAATAAACATAAAGGCAGCATTTCGAATCACTGAAGGAATGGTTCAGGGATCATTGATTTGTAACCTTATTGGGTTACAAAGTCAAATTAAACTCTGTAACTATATGATGAGCTCAACAAGAAAATCACCTTGCTTCTAATGAGCAAGCTTTCTAAAAACCTTATCACGATGTAAAACTCTAAGAAAAATTCTGGATTCAGAATGGCACACATAAAAGGATATTTCTGCCTCCCTTTTGAAAGATAGACCCCGTTTGGAGTTTATAGATCCAAAATAATAGCAATCACCTTTAATGGATTATTTATAGTATCCTTGGTTCAAAACGGGTAGTTCATTAAGTTTGGCTTTATATTTCTCTTAAAAACCCCATTTACTAAAAGATTTACAATTTCCCCCTACACTTAAGAGAAGTTTAACTCTTTCCCTGACTTTCCTAAGTGCTAATCTTTATGTGATGCTTAATATTTTAAATCACCTCCTTCCTAGAGATTTAAAGGTCAATATATTTATATCCACTTCCACTTTTTAATTCTGTAATTTTTCCACTAAATCAGTAGTTTTAAATCTCTTTTCTAAAATGCTGTGTCCCATATGTTCACATTCCTACAGGCACAGATAAAATATGTTTTGAATTATGCACAAATTCCTGGCAAAAAGTGTAACCCCGCCCCTTTTTCACAGCTCATAACAGCACAGTGGGGTGTCACAACACCCTGGTTGAGAGCCCATACGCTAAATAAATTTATTTATTTATTCCCCAGGAAGGAATAAAAATACCTAAGATAGTTTTGATTTTTTTTCCCAAGTGCCTTGTGGACATTTTCTTATTAAAGCAATAATTAATTTTGATCACATATAAACTTCGGAATGCTTACATAATTTTAGTTAGTGTTCATGATGGCTCGGCCTAATCCAATATGTTTCTGAGCGAGGAACTTTTTAAGGATAACTTTAAAAGATGGAAAAGAGTTGCAGTCAAATTGAGTCCACGAGGCATAGCTTTGAAGCAATCCTTTTTGAGTATGTGCCTTCTTGCCTATATTACAGAGAAAGACAATCATGCTCATTATGTGGTTATATGTCTTTAGTAGCAGGATTACAAAGTGTATGCCACAGTATGCTGAGCTATGCTATGTTACAGAAATATTAGCATACTGATTATAGTACCATTTAGAGTGATTTCAGAACACAATCATCTCTGCCGCTACACTGCCTCTCTCCATGGGAAGTATATTCATGTAAAACACATATAGCTCTTGTAGAGCAACTAGAAAAGAATGCACAATACCACTTAAATCACCCGAAATGGGATTTCTCCAGTCAGATTTATATGGCACAAAGCAAAGTTGAGCATTGGCATTTATTTTGTAAATTGGGACTATATAGGCAAACTGAACTCAATGATTCAGCCTGCCACAACTCACAATTGCGTTTTATTTTTCAAGATGCTCTAAGATTAAATCCCTTATCTTGACTTAAACTGCCTCCTGTTTAGGTATTACAACCTATGTCAGCACCATCTCTAGCACTTACGTTAATCTTCTTTGCAATTTGGAAAGAAAACAAACATCATAGTAAACCATTTTATTTCCTCAAATGACAGGGATCTCCCACAGACATCTTGAAAAACCAGTGAATAGGCATAATACCCTGCTGTAAACACATATAGAAATGAATAAAATTATTTTTGAAATCCATTTTCAGCATTGGCAGATGGTCACAATTTCAGGTTAGAGTTATAAAGTATTTCCAGATCTATGACTACCTGCTAACTTCCACTGATCCACTTCAGGCTAAAGAAAAAAAAAAAAAG